GAATGACGGTAGCACCGTACTACATCTAGCACTGAGAGAAGAAAAGTTGAAAACGTGTAGAAGAATCCTGCTACAATGGGGAGTTCAGATTAACGCTGCTGACGATGATGGAGTGGCGCTGCTAATAGATGCAGTTAAAGGGAAGTTCATGGACATTATCGATCTGCTACATACAGAAAATGTGGATGTTTCTTCAGCAGACAAGGAAGGAAAGGCTGCACCGCACGTTGCTGTAACCTCGGGTGCCGCTAGAATCGTGAAGCAGCTATCAGATACATTGGCAGATATTGATGCGGCAGACAGATGTGGTTGGACGCCATTGGCCATAGCAGCCGAATGTGGTCTGCACGATATCGCATTAATTTTGCTACAGAAGAAAGCGGATGCCAACGTGAAGTCAGCGAATGGAAATACAGCATTGCGTTGTGCTGCAGGCAGTGGATGCGCTTGGACATGTCTGTTTCTGTTGATGTACGGTGCTGCTATCGACCCGAAGAATTGTTACGGAGCTACCTCGTTGCTGATGGCAGTTACGCACAGAAGTGCAGACGAGTTTAAGCTTCTTGTAGATGAAGGGGCTAATGTTGACACGAATGATCATGGTAAACGGACGTCCTTGCATCTTACCATCAAGAATAGAGCCAATGATATCGTGGAAATGCTTTTCGATCATGGAGCCTATTTACGACTAAAGGATAAAAGAGGATTTACACCTCTGATGGTCGCTGCTCAAGCTGAAAATATTCCTGCCATCAGTTGTTACTGAGTTGCTTCTGGTGTGGTGTAGTAATTCTCACGGCAACTCTAGCGACTAGTGTAGGTAGGATAAACCCACAACAATACGTCTACCAGAACGATAAACGATCGTTTGGGGCGTGATCTGAAGACCCAGACTCAGCCCTTACGCCGGGACAGACTGGACCTGCAAATCGCTATATAGGCCAACCAGTAAAAATAAGAACACGCTACTAGCACGAGCAAAGCCAGTAGGTGTTATGAATCCTCGTGGTCCCAACAGCGGAAGGGTACCAGGCACGGGTAAGCCTTTTAGGAGGGCGCCGAGTGTTCAACACTCGACTGGAAGAATATATGGGAGGCAACGCGCTCTCCCCAACACGTGCAAATAGGCACAATAAAGCCGTCACGTATACTTCCGATATATAATCGGCCAATACACACACCCACTTGGCCTTGCGAGTCCACCGACAGGCATAACACACCCAAACAAGCTTATCTAGACGCTTACCTTGAAGCCGGACCTCGCTCGTGTGCTTGAGTGGAAATTCTGTTCTGTTATTCGTTATGCCCTTTCGGGCTCTTCCTAATATGCAATCCTAATCATGTATACAAATATCAAGTGAACTATGATCCGTTATGGATCGCTACACGTGCCAACAGTTACCTCAACTGTCCTTGTGCCTTCTCATGTCTCCGTCGAGCGTTCAACTGCTAGTCGCACCCACCGAAGAGTCGCTCGAACCGTCACCGAGTCGTAGTACCGTAGTCCGTCGGTTGTTGACTGCTGAATGTGAATCCAGCTTCACCGATACGAACCACCCGATTTGAGTGACATCTTGGTCACAGTCGGACCGACGATCGTTCGGTAGTGATGTATCCTTGGTCATCTTGCACCGCGGTCACCACCTGCCGCATGACCGAGCGTTCGTGGCTTGAGCAACTTGAATGTAGCCACTTCAGCGATTACTTAGAAATCACTACATCACACTGGCCAGAATGCAGTAGGGACCGCGCAGCTCATCTCTAACATTATTTAGTTTTGAAGTTTAATTTTTACAAATACAAGTCATTCAGCAAGCACGCAGTAACGATCTCTGATACTCTTCGTTTTCTTCAGTAACTCGTCACAGAGATATATAGTCTGGCTTATACATTCGCTTGCGCCCTTCACACTGTTGCTCTATTCGCTAAAAGCCCCACCCGCAGCTTGTTTTACATCCCACATGAGCCAGCTCGTATCCAGTGTGATATGATCGTCTTTGCGGCTGACCAAATCAGCTAGAATACCAATACCAGCATATAGCTTCTTTAGCGTCAAAGCGATGGGGTTCACGTCCGGCAAGTGTTTCTTCATCCACCATCGCTTCGATCCGGCCATCATCTGTGAGCTGAAAAAGAGTGACACCCTCTACATTACCCGAAGGATTAACCCACATCGCAACTTGAACGTGGGTCGAGCCATGCAACTGCGAGCCTTCTGCAAAGATTAGTCCACTTTTTCGGCAGCGCCATCCAGATCACTAGTGTAGGAAACTGCACACCCACAGGCTTCCGTTCTCCATCCCGTCTGAAACGAGCATATCCGCAGCGAATCGATGACATCTCCGAGCAGAACGGGTCAATGCTGTCATTACCATAGTGGACAGCGACTGATCATAGCATAATAAACCGATTGCTTGATTTCTAGCGCCGCATTCGATTTGTTGCAGAAGCCCGTATATGATTCGGCCGTGCACGATAGCGTGAAGCTTCGAAGCCATATCTTGGATAACCATGCGCCCCGTGTGT